CAAGTGCTCACGGTTTAGGGTTTAGGGTTTAGGGTTTAGGGTTTAGGCTCAGCCTTCTTCACCAAGCCCTGATATTCTTTTACTGGGCTTTGGAGTACCATACTTTAATACTTGTTTTTCGGGACCTGTTCCTTAAAGTAGCCATTATGAGATAAAAGTCTAGACTTTTTTCTCCCTGGTTACTTCAAAGCCCAGTTTACTGTAGGTATCATGCGGTCCTGTCTTCCGGGAACAGCGCTGTGGGAAGGTTGAAGAACATAGCTTGTCAAAGGTTTAGGGTTTCAGTTCGCAGATTGGGAACCCTAAACACTAAATCCTCAACCCTTAGCCCTACAGCCCTAAACCCTAAACCCTAAAACCCTGAACCCTAAAACCCTGAACCCTAAACCCCAAACCCGAGGATGAGGGCACGCGGTTGCGCCAAACCACTCTTAAACCTCACCATGCCACGTCTGCGAAGCTTTCTCATGCCGTGAAGCCCAGGTGCCTTGATAGTTGGTCACTAGAGTTTAGGGTTTAGGGTGTCGGGTTTCGGGTACTAATAAGAAGCTCTGGCCCTATAATTCCAGAAGAGTCATTAGGATTCATACAAAGAACTCAACAAGAAGCCCTGTTTTTTTTTCAATCGCGTTCTTCTTGATAAAAAAAACTCAACAAGAAGCCCTGGTTTTGTTCAAATCATGCCCCCTTGATTATACAATGGCCTGTAGAAACCTTGACCTTACCGGGCTCCTGGGGCAGAGAGTCATTTCGTCCTGATTAAATTTGAAGCCACACCTGAGCCGGTAAGTAAGCTCTGAGAGCGTAAAACATGATTTAGGGCTTAGGGTTTACCCATCGGCCCCATAGTAGTTCCTTTTCGGGGTTCATACTTAGAATCCTATAAGGCAATCCCAAAAAGGAACTACTATGGGGCCAAAGGGTCCTTAGAAGTTGAACTAACCCTCCATCAGGTGTGGAAGCGGACTTCCGAGAAGTCCGAAGCCGAAAATGGCACGCTGAGTCTTTTGGCAAACTGAAACTGTGTTTTGGTGTTTACGAGTTATGAACTCTAAATCTTCCATGAGGCTTCTAGATGTAGGGCTTAGGGTTTAGGGTTCAAGAAGAATGCAATCCCAAAGGGTCCTATGTACCGATATAGTAGAATGTAGCATTTCTCTAGTAGGAATTAGCATTATGATTTAGGGAAGTATCCCCCATAACAGTACATACGACTCTTTGGGAATAAAGCTTCTGTTCGAAGTCTACCCTTACTGTGCAAACTCTACCAGCTCACTCCTTGCATCTCCTTGTGTATTCCCCATTCGTGAAGCCTAAACCCAACCACAAGAACTGACATACAACGCGGGTTTAGGGTTTGGGGTTTAGAAACAATGAATTTGTACTGACACATTAAACAAACTAAAAGGCTAAACATCAAAAACCTCAATAAACCCGCACCCTAAACCATAAGCAACATCGTAAACTCTCACCAAACTTGAAACCTAGTTGAAGAACCCTACGAGCCGTAAGGTGTTTTTTTTTGTATCTGGCCGGAGTTGCGCGGTCCCGTGTTCACGCATTTGGCACATGTATGTCACGCCGACGGGTGCGCGCTTGTGTTAAGTTTTGTGCCGCCTCGCAGCAGCAGTGGCAGCTATTACGAACCAGTTTCTGCGAACCATTGTTGAAGTATCACCTATAGCTATAGCCTAACGGAGCCCGTCATGTAGAAACTTTGCTTGAAACTACCCTTGCAGCACCCGTATACTAGTAAACACATATCCATCCTGTAGTGTCCGTATAGCAATCTTATAGTACCCTAAACCTAAACCATAAACCCTAAACCGGAAGGAGTCAAGGAGCGCATATACCACTTTAAAGAAAACCCTAAACACTTACCAGTAATCTTATACTACCCGTTATAGTACCCTTAGCCTAAACCCTAAACCCTAAGCCCTAAACCCTAAACCTTAAAACCCTAAACCCTAAACCCTAAACCCTAAACCTTAAACCCCTCAGAGGATCCCGAAAAAGAGGCTCTTGGCCAGCTGAGGTTCGGAGATCGTCGGCAGGAGCTTGTCTTCATCGGCGGCCCGCAGATGGTGGAGTCCACTTTGGTACCCGGGCAATTTAGGGTTTGGGGCTTAGGGTTTAGGGCTTAGGGTTTTGGGTTTTGGGTTTAGGGTTTAGGGGTTTAGGGTTTAGGGTTTAGGGCAATTCAGGGTTTATAGGGTTTAGGGCTTAGGGAGTCCACTTTGGTACCCGGGCAATTGGTTTAGGGTTTAGGGTTTAGGGACTTTGGTACCCGGGCAATTTAGGGCTTATAGGGTTTAGGGTTTAGGGGGTCCACTTTGGTACCCGGGCAACAGGGGTCCAAGCCTAATATTTATTGATATCACTCCTCAAAAATGATCGTATATGTTATTCACTCAAAACCCCAAGGGATGGGGAGGGATCCAGGTTTTAGGAAGGTCTACAACGTCTAGACGTCGTTTAGAAGCGTGTCTTTTAAGTTTCCTTGCCGGTCCAAGTCTCCAACAGTTACGTTGTTGGGTTTAGGGTTTAGGGTTTAGGGTTTAGGGTAGCAGTAACGTAAGCGTAGGTGGGGGGTTGATGAGGTGGCGCTGAGTCCTTAGTAGAATTTAGTCCGCCAGGACCGCGAGAATTTTGCATACATGAGCGATGGATCCATGGGTTTGGGCTCGGGGCCGCAAAGACCGAAACCCTAAACCCCCCGTTTGGTCTCGATGCCTGCAGCCTCCGTATCAAGGTTGAGCTGCTGGAGGGTTGTCTGCTGGACGATGAGGACACTTGCGGTTTAGAAACCCTAAACCCTAAACCCTAAACCCTAAACCCTAGAACCCAAGGGTCTCGTTTTAGAGCTTGCCCAAAGGTTCCACATATCCGGCAATCAGGCCTTGGAGTTTAAGGCCATAGTATGTGTAGGCTGTATATCGGAGTACATGACTGCAGTGAGGTACTACGCACCTGAGGGCCGCGAGTTAGGATTTAAGTCGGTGATGGTGAGTTTGTTGGTTTGTGCTGTTTGTGGGACATTCCAGCTGAAGCCCTGCCCCCAAACCCGACCCCCCGAAACCCTATACAGCTGAAACCGGCCTGAAACTCTTAAACCCTGAGCCCAGAGAATCCTCGGGTCACGATCTCAGCTGGGGCAGGCAACCCTCACTGACCCGTAGATGTGAAATTGGGCTTCCTTATAAGGTCCCCAAAATATTACGAAACCCGTATAATAGGACTCCAAAGGGGACCCGACTTTAGAGAACTACTCATGTGGTGTTACAGCCGAAGCTAGAAGACATGTTGCGCTTCGGGCACTCGCCGCACTCTCCTTTCTGTCGATCTATCCATCTATCCCCAGAACACCCTAAACCCTAAACCCTAAACCTTACAATTGTGGTTCATTGCAGGGTTCTTGATCTCAGAAAACTGCCGCTTACACTAAGCCCAAAGCAGTCTCAAGCCCATTGTCCCGATGCCCCCTTTCAGCTCTACAGACTCTAAACCCTGAACCCCATGTAAGCCTTACGCTCCCAAGGCCTTCACCCCCCCTAAACCCTATCAGCCCTAAACCGGTTTAGGGTTTATGGTTTTAGGGTTTAGGGTTTGGGGTTTAGAGATTTGGGCCTGTACGGTTGATAGAGAGGCCCTTCACCCGAAAAGCGGACACATCGTCCTGCCAGCCCAAAGGGTCCCAAGTAGCTATATGGGGGATACGTACCCAAAGCAGGGTTTAGGGTTTAGGGTCGAGGGTTTAGGGTAGTCCATGTAATTCCTACTCTGGAAGTCTCACTTTCTATACAGTATGCATAAGCTCCTAAACTCCTAAACCCTATTAAAACCCTCAACCCAAACCCCTATTGTCTACTAGATGCTTCTATAGGATCCTAATAAACCCTAAGCCCTAAACCCTAAACCCTAAACCCTAAACCCTAAACCCAAACTAAGCCCTTCGGGAGGAGTTTGCAGACTTCCGCCGATCGACAGCCGACCTGCAGGTGCCCAACGACGTGCCTCGGCGTAGCGGTTTAGGGCTTTAGGGTTTTAGGGTTTAGGGTTTAGGGGTTTTAGGGTTTAGGGTTTAGGGGTTAGGGGTTTTAAGTTTTTTTTTGGAGGGGGGGTGAGGATTTACGGTGTTGAGGGTTTA